ATTAACTATAAATTTTTTTTTTTTTTTAAAGAATAGGAGAATCAGGGCTGGAGAGATGGCTCAGAGGTTAACACTGGCTGTTCTTTCAGAGGTCCTGACTTCAATTCCCAGCAACCACATGGTGGCTCACAACCATCTAGAATGAGATCTGGTGTCCTCTTCGGGATGCAGGCAGAATTCTGTATATTAAATAAATAAATCTTAAAAAAAGTAAAATAAAGGAATAGGAGTATCCAAAGACAGTCTGTGCTGGCTGGCAAAAAGCTTTCCGTCCTTGGAATGACAGCCTCGCCTTGCCTCTCTTTGCTCCCTGTGGCAGACCCTGAGGCTCTGCTCCCCAAGCCCTGGTAGCAGGTGGCTCACAGCATGTTTGGCTATTGAAAGCAATGCTGGGAAGGCAGGAGAGTGCAGAATCCAAAATATCTCTCCCCTTGAGCTTTTCCTGGTGACTCCAGACTCTGGGACTGCCATTCTCCCTTCCTCCTTCCTACCTAGGGAACAGATTCCTGCACGGCCAAGAAGCTACTATTTGTTTGGCTTCTCAGCCTCTCCCATCATTTTCTGCCAGTCTCCTGCACAACATTTCCCATTTGAAATAGTCTAGGTGACCTCTATTTCCTTTCTGATCTAACGATGCAAATGACAATGGCCTCACAGCCGTGTTCCAGAACCAGAGGGGACAATTTCGGCTGTGAGTTCCAGCCAGCTTGGGAGGCTGAGGCGGGAGGAGCACAACTGAGGACCAGGCCCATCAACTTTCTGAGGCTCTCAAAATGAAATATTAAAAAAGGGCGGGCATTCCTGAGCCGGGGGTGTAGCTCAGTAACATAACACTGCAGACAAGTGCGCTTGAGAGAGTCCTGCGTGCAAGCCCCAGCACTGAAAGAAAAGAACGGCACAAAATGGTTGAGGAAAAAGCAAAAAGGCTTTCAAAATAGCAGCTCTTCAGATTGGAAGCACTCCTCTAGACTACATGTCTGCAGAAAGCCTCCCTGCAGAGTCGCTGCGCTGCAGGGACCGGGATAAAGAGCGCAGTTATCGTATCTCACTGGGAAATCCCAGGAGCCCTCTCCCAGGACACAGGACCACAGGAAGACATCCTCAGCTCCCCAGCCCTCCCACTGTTACAACCACAGCAGCTGCTGCCAGGAAAGAGGAGGCAAGCTCTTTGCTAAAAGAACCCTTAGCATACATGACCACATAATTAGGAACTTTCTCCTCAAATAATCAAAGAAGCTAAAGAAGCCTTAAAGAATGAGGCTCTGTGGAGAAAGCAGGCAGCTGTCAGAGGCATTCTGTCTTCCAGAGAAGAATGTACAGATTGGGGGACAGGAATCATCAGAAGCAGTGTCAACTCGTGAAGACCACACTCAGGAAGACGCAGAGGGTGTGACGACACCACAGGGAAAAGGCTCTGAGAGAAATCCAGTCAGCCTGTGTGTAAAAGTAAAGAGCAGCCGCCACCTAGGATCTTGGAAAAAAGGGGCAGGCAGCTGGCTGCAGACCTCGGAGTAACGGACATTAGCATCTCCACCTTGACTCCCTCCAACAGTCCCTTGGCCTAGAGACCCCCATGGTGAGTCCACCTGAAGCGCTGAGCTTCGGAAGTGGCACATTAGAGGCCCAGTACTCTGTCCTTACAGTCCCCAGGTGCGAGTGTATGCCCTGAGACCCGTCATGATGAAAACCCCAAAGGATCCTGGCTGTACCCACAATGCAACCTAGTTGGATTCTTCAAGGGTCAAAGTCTTGCCCAGTATAGTGGTTCACATCTATAATCCCACAAGGCTGAAACGAGAGGGCTGCCATGAGTTCCAGGCATCCTGGTTATAGACTGAGACCTCCCCCCTCAAAAAAAAAAAATAGTATTATTGACTAACAATTAGAGAGTATTATTGACTCTCTCCATAGAGACATACACATATTAAAATCCTACATTCAATG